TCATTGGCTGGACGAAATTTTGTTGCGTGAATTACTAATAAGTCAGTGGCTAGTTATAAAGAGAGAAGTTACCCTTGCGGCTAAGTTTATATTATACATTGAACAAGTTAAAATCGACAGGAAAAGTAAAGTAAGGCCCATTGCTGAATATTTACAAAGAATCGATCTTGCGAGCAAAAAAATGAAAAGATAAAATTATCCAGTTGTGGTTTAACGAAAAGGACACCTTTCCAATAACATGTATATTAACTTAAACATGTTTTTAAAAAGGGGGGACCAACTATGTTATGACTTTTATTTGGATTAAACAACGCACTACATGAACAATGTCTATCTATATCGAATAACTAATGGTCATTTTGTTTTATGTTTAAGTATACTTAAAAAACGAAATCGGACACAAAGTTTAAGCATTTAGCCATTTAGTTGCTACCTAAAGATATAACGGTGTAATGAGGGATACTATGGGGATAATATCTGATTCGCATGATTTCGCTTTTTTTCGATGCCTATCCAATTTTATATATTGATATACTGAGGCTTGTTTTACCAAAATTAATATCAAGCCTTCTTGGTTTTGGGATGGTGAAGTCTGAGTTTCCTGAATGAGAGTAATCTTTACTTTCGTTGCGTTTGCAATTAGAGGCTTGGCAACAACTGAGTTTGTAAAGTTATTTCTGGTGATTGGGAAAATATACAAATAAGGGAAGATCGATGGCATGGAGTATACATGCAAATGTATTGTCATTTCCGACAATTCGCTGCCTTCACCTTTTAATTGAACGATGATATATTCAAAGGCTGACACCCGTTGATTTTTACATTCTTGTAACCTTCACTCTGAACGCTTAAACCTGAAAGTCAGCCAGCAGCCACCGGCTACTTTCTAACTGCATTATATCAAAAGCATCGTTTGTGTTTCTCGTCCGTTGCATTGGGGGTTTCTACTAACTTACATCGTCCAGCCATCTTTTTTTTTTTTTCTCGTTGTGCTTGTAGAGAACGTGCCTAACCAGTTAAGTACGTTATCAAAGTAAGATTAAAAAAAACGGGTGGAAGGGAAAATTTGCAATGTTTGTTAAGTTCAGTTTGCAATATTCTCTCAAAAGACCCGCTGTCGCTTTATTCACTTATGGCTTTATTGACAGCACCTCTTGAATTGTGAAAATATTGCGTCTGTCTCAATGAATTGTTTTGGAGAGAGGAGGCAGGTGGCGGTGAAAATTCTCGCTAAAATACACGCAATCAGCTTCTGGCGACGCGGGCTGTAAGATAAAGAAAATTATACCTTACGCAGTAATAACAATAACAATAGTGAAAGTGTTGATAATGACAGAATAGCATCAATGATAACAATAATCATATAAAAGGCACCTTATTTGCAGTCTCACTGCGCATGAACAACACGTTGTGACTTGCCGTTGTCCCGTGGGTTTCACGTCGTGACGAGCACTTGAGTACTTAATCTTTTGTTTTGATCACTTTTAGCTTACTTTCGGACTAATTCAATTTGGAAGCCAAGTAAAATTGCATAATGTTTGATTTTATATTTAAAATAATGTTCTAGAAGCATTATTAGACTCATTTTTTCAAAAATTGTTTTCGCGTGCTAAACTAGCTTCCAGCGAAGAGTTTGCTTTCTTTCAACGGAATAATTAGTTGTCTTTTCCGATTTTCTCAATGTATAACCCGTCATTTAACTTAGAAGATTTTTTAATCGACTCAAATTAATTTTGAATGTAGTGTGTTAATCGCCATGTTCGCAAGCAGACAAACACACGCTTCTTGTTCACACGAGATGATTTCGTTCTTCGCAAACCGTTTTTTTTATCCCGAGACTAAACAAAACTAGCTCGCAAAAATAATGAGTATAAAATTGATGGTAATCGATCGCTTTAACATTAAACATCGAAAATGTAAAACAATTTCCGTCTTTGATATGCCGAGGCAGAACTACTCTTCTAAGCCTGATAGTTTGTAATTTTTCGCAAAAATAATTTCACAATGGGTGTGTCTATTATTAGAAAAGCTTTAATAGTGTAATTCGTTGGGTTATTTTTCAAACATAGTTTAACTCGTAGACGGAGTGCACAGAACAAAAAGATGTCATGTTGGTCATAGAAATCTTATAATGTGAACCCTTTAAATTCAAGGCTGGCTCCAAAGAGCGTGGTTGGGCAAGGAGCCAAATAGCGCAAAATCTGAACACACATCCAGGATTCACAGTATCTTAAAGAGCTGTCTTTGTGACTCTTTTAATAAAGGAAACCAAAAGTAAATCATGCGTTTCCTTCAAGCTCGACATGACCGGACAATGCGAAGGAATCGAGAGCTTCATTGTGAAGATTGAATTTACCACCAAATTTGCGAAGCTCGCTCGGCGCGGCGTCGCGTTTTTCGTGCGCTTTGCTTGAGGATAGTAACCCGCAGTCGCGACCGCAACTTCAAGCCGTTCTATCCCCAGTTTCTTATCGGTCGTCACGTCGCAGTCGTCAACGAAAACGTCTTTTGCTTAAGGCGCCTAATAATAATAATAATAAATAATACTAATGGTAATAATTTTTTTTAATAAAAATATTTTATTTATTATAATCACTAAAAATATTTACAAAAATTATGATAAAATCCTTAAAAAATCGAAAAATACATTAGAATGTCTGATAAAAATCTAAGAAAAACTAACGGTGTACGCTTCGTTTACCTTTACTCCTTGAACTTTAAAGAAGAAGGTAATACAAAAAAGTAATAATAGTAATGTGAAGAACTAGTCGGTCAATGCGTCGGTTGAATGACCGGCTGCTTAGTTTCTTAGGTTCTTTAAATTTTGTTTTATTGCTGCTCTAGCTGTCATTTTCAATTCCAAGACCTGTCAGATTCTCGTAAGAGCCTGGAAATTTGAATGATGTCACTATATTCAAGAAATTTTCTCCTACCACTGCGCTTTTTGTGGAAAGTTCCCGTGTGGCTACCTGGTGCTGTAAAAATCAAATATTGATCAACCCTAAAAAGACCAAGTTCCTTATGGTCGGGACAGGCTTCCTAACGAAATCGCGATCTCTTTCTTGTAGAAAGAGATCATACCTGTCTCCAGTGCCAAGGATCTCGGAATAATACTAGATAACAACTTAACCTATGATCAACACATTCATCAACTTACCTCATCGTGCATGACTAAACTTTGTCAAATAAACAGGGTAAGGAACAGTTTTGATAGGGACACTTTATGCACGATCATCTCCGCTCTAGTCCTAAGAAAATTGTTCTATTGCTCTACAGTTTAGTCAAGCACAACTGCCACAAACATCTAGAAGCTTCAAGCTGTTTAGAATTTCGCTTGCAGAATCAGCACAAAAACCAAGAAATTTGAGCACATAACACCTGCGTTACGCGAGATTAAATAGCTACTAGTAGATGAGCATCTCCTTTACAGACACTGTAATGACATTTAGGTGCATGAAGGGCCTGGCCCCCACATATTTATGAGAGTCTCTCCGAAGACGCAAGTATATTCACTATCGTAACACTAGAAACAGAGAACCCCTTGATATTCCTCCAAGCAAGACAAAGTAAGGCCAGCGACGTTTCCTCCATAGAGCAGTCAACATTTGGAACTACGACTTTAAACAGTTACTTTTAACATCATTTAAAGAAAAGTTGAAAACGTACATGCCAAAGAATTATTTCAATTTACCGCTTTTTATAATTTTATCCATTTTTTATTATAATGCTCTTTGCTGTTTAGTATTGAAAAGGCTCCCTGGGAAATACTAATAAAGTATGTATGGGTGTGTGTGTGTGTGTGTGTATGTATGTATGTAATATTAAAAGTTGTATTCTAATGGTAATACTAATAATAACGATGGTAATTATGTAATAGTGTAGTTTTATCGTTCAGGTGAGTGTAGTCCTGAGAAAGACTGTTATCGGTAGTGGTGACTGACGTTTCGACAATCTGAGTAGAATTCATCATCAGAGTCAAGTGACTTGACGGTCATCACTACCGATAACAGTCGTTCTCAGGACTACACTCACCCGGACGATCAAACTCCATTAGTCGCATGTTACCCCCGGGTTCAAACCATTAACTGGATGATGATAATGAGGCAGTTATGCTAATCGTGAATATGATTGTAAGCCATTTTACGAGCGCTCGTAAGAACTACCAGGCAAGGCAAAAGTTGCATCATTAGGAAGCGTACAAATCAGTGAGAAGGCGGCTGTCTAAATCATTCGACAGCCAGTTAAGAGAACACAGACCAATTACTCCGATTTTACCTACGTAGCAGCATGTCTTGGCGCGTGGAAGGACATACCTAGGAATTTTAACATTTCAAATGAGTTTTATGATGATTTTGTTTTTAATCAGTAATTCATTAATGTTTGAAAGCTTTACTCGCATTAGGTCTTCAAAAACGATAGATTATTTGAACTTGCCACTAGATAGAGGGGGTTTGTCCTTGTTAATAAATCAAAGTTTCTCAATTCATGTTATTCTGATCTTTTCATTTCATCTTTGAATCTCTTTTGACAAAACAAGCTTATATATTGATACTTTATTTGATCAGATTAAAATTTACTCTATCCCAAAATAAACTAAAGAGATAGTAACGTTGCTTCTGAAGACATCTCAAAAGAAATAGTTTGCAGGAATATTGCGACAAATGATAAACAATTGAATTCATTTTCTACAAAAATTCGTCTTGGTGACTACCTGTTTACCAAGCGCATTCAGTACAAATTTCATATCATCATCAATTGATGTCTGAATAATAGAGGCCACTTCGTCACAGTCTATTTACATTGCATTTTACAATTTTATTGCTTAAAATCAGTATTAATAATCTCCATCCTTGCTCAGTCTCGTTGCGTGTTTCTCATTATTTCAAACTTTAATATTTTTCCGAAATTTTCATATTTATAGTTTTCTCCAATCTATATATTGACTTCTTGCGTGATGTGCTGTCACCCGTGTCATTCTCTGACGCATCATGAGCGAGCGAAACTTGCTCATGACAACCAATACGTGTTCGAGCGACTGAACAGGTTAATTTAAACTTACCGCACCATGCTGTGGACGTCATTCAAGCATTCTTATGGGAGTGTTCATTTATACTAGAGCAAACAAGAAGCACAACGATAAGCGATGCGGGAATCGTTCTTCAAAAGTATTTTCATTTTGTCCATTTGGAGCGAGATTTCAATCATGTGCGTGCATTGTCGAAGCTCTTCTAGAATTCCTGATGAATTGAAGATAGCTGGGCAGATAAAGCTCTGTTTGAGAACATGTAACCTCAGCTGGCAAGAAAATGAAACGGAAATATCAAGTAAAGAGGTAATCTAACAATTCCTTCACTTTAGCGGTGTTTATTTTAGTTCAATGAACAACTATTTTCAAAGAATGTTGGCAAAAGCTCCATGTACGAGATTTTAACCATAATTCGTAGACAATATAGTTCAATAACGAGTGTTAAAATTTTCAAAATTTCCAATTTCGTATTTTTCTAGAGGAAACTGTCCTTCTCTGCGAACATCTTTATATGCTCAAAGCATGTCGATGTGAGACCCTCATCTGAGCTAGCTCGATTATCGGTTCAAATTTGCCTCCCATGCATTTGAAAAAGATTCAGCCAGATTATGAGCTGTTGATATGAGAAAACACACTTCCTTTATTCAGAAATAAACAAAGAGCGACCTTTCAAGTTTAGTCCCTAACGGGATGAAATTCATTTGAAAAGAACCAGCAGCGGTGGTTTATTTACTTAGGAAAAACTGGCAAACAATGACCTGGATTGGCCCTACTTCTCATAGGAAGAAAATATCATACATTTTAAAAGAAAAAATGTTGAAAATGACGGTAATAGAGTCAAACTGATGAACGGGCAAATATCAAAAGACCCTGAGGGCTAATTACGCGTGAAAAGTTTACCTCTTTGAAAATAACGTGTGAATAATTGGGTCTAGAACAATCGTAAACGCAAATTATTCGACTTAATCATTCAGTCCAATTTCTGCGTTCTATATTTCGAAAAAATGTGAATTTGTAAAACCTATTCCACCATTGGAAAGAAAAAAAATTAATAAACCGACCAAAACAAAACAAAATAGATTGGAAGATAAAAAAAGTAACACAATTGAAGAATATTTTGCTTGTACGCAGTAGGGGTACATCAAGAACTAAAATGACAATATCCGCTGTTATACTCCCTATTTTCTATATTCCGAATATTCCTCTCTCTTTATTTCCCAACCTCTACATTTTCCACTTTCTGCAAGCCTACTTTTTTCATTTTCGACGCTTTTCATTTTTAATACTCGGCTATTTACAATATTCGCTCTTTGAACACCGTAGTTACCATCTAGCCTCCGATTCAAGATTGTTTAAGTTTGAGGTTTTTTTAACTAAAATCAGAAACCCAGAGGATTAAAAAGGCTTTTTTGATCCTGATTTTTGACTACTACTGAATAAAAATGCATCATAACAAAACATACCATCCTATGCCATCCCATACACATAAAACACCAACACCACTTACTGCTTGGAGAAAACTCTATTCGAAATTCAAACATGCTCAGTCTCAAATCCATGATTTTTTTGTTTCGGTTTAGGACAATTCACTGTATGCCTGTAAGAAATCTATAGTACAGACTATTTTCACCTTTCTACGAATTAACAATATTCTCCTGTTTTTCTTTTGTGCAGTCACACGGACGTCATCAGTGTTGTTACGACAAATGTCGAGTTTTTGTATTGAAGAGTAAGTAAATAATAAAAAGAAGTGAAATGATAGTATTCTATCCTGTATGAGATGTAGCGGATATAACAAATTTGGCGTGCTAGATTGAGAGATAATGTCGGAAGAGACACGTAAATAGCTTGATGTTTTTATGATTTAACGTAACGTCAATCAATGGTTAAAATCAGACTCAATTTATAGAGGGTAACACCTAATAGTTAAACAACTAATACAGCTGTGACTCTCTTAATGAATGATACATTGTTAGAATGGATTTCCTAACACTAGTTTACTAGCTCTGATCTAACAAGGAAAGTGTGGGTCACCCTTATAAAGGTGACGCTTACCGAGCTGTCAATCCTTAACCTTCGTCATGATTTTATACTTAACTAGCGAATCACGCTAAGCTACGCAGAGCGGAGTTCGCATACTAAGTAGGTACTTCGCGATGTTTACGCTTTACAAAATGACTTCTTAGTCTTACGGTCAAGGTCGCGCGAAACAAAAACTAGATTTGTAAAAATTATAACAACCTTACAAACAGAATTAAAATCATAGCTGAGGAGATATCCTAAGAGAAAATAGTCCTCGAAGACTGTTACATAACAACAGAATAAACAGAAAATTCGAAGAAGAAAAGGCGTACGCAAGGTACCGCCCCTAAAAGAGCTACGTGCTATTCGTATAAATTACCTGATTATAAATTCAGTGTGGAGGATGAAAAGTACTACATGCTTACACCTAAAAAGTCACTTCTAAGTAAAAGAGGTGTAGAGCGTGCTAATTGATACCTGTAAGATAAGACCGCCAAAAAGAATAAGAAATGATCAAATGGCTTATTATAATTTTCACTGAATGACTTGTGTTAATATATTATTTCCATTCATTTTCCACGGTCAAATAAGTGAAAAAAACACCTATAATGAAAATTCTTGCTAGATGCCAATTTTGTCTTTTAACAATATTACAAATTAAATGATATATATAAAAAATTACAATGTCAAAACTTCTTTAAAAGTTAATGTGCATATTACCCACAATATACGATCTAATATATTCTGAAGAAAAGGTTAAAACTGTTTCCCTAATCTGACTTAATTAAGATGTTATACAAAACATTCGTTGAAATATTTATAGATGAGGAGGTACGTATCTTAAGCGGAAGCTGATTCCAATATTTGGAAGTTGTCGCGGTAAAAGTAATATCTCCCTCTTTCACTCGATATATCGTAGTTTTTAAGAAAATGTTGTGATTGGCGCTCCGTTTGCTTCTACATGTACTTCACGTGTGGAATAACTAGTTAAACGAGAGCCGTTGAGAGCTCGAGGAATTCAGTCAAGTTTACATACCGAAAAAGGGAAATCTATTCACAGCCTCCCACTCTTCCTAAGCTGAAGCCCCCTCCCTTGTACTGTAATTCCAGATTTTCTTCGTCCCCGTGTGGATAACCTGAAACAATCGCGCGACCAGCAGACGAAGCCACCTTTCAAGAGGCAAAAACGAGGTAACAAAAAACGTTTTCCTCAAACGATGATAAGCTGATTTACTAATAGCCAAGCATTACACTTACATAATAGCTGGTTACGTTGACTATAGTTGATAGAAATGACTAGATTGGGACACCAAAAGTTTTTTTAAGTTTAATTAGATAGTTCTATTTTAAATTTAGTAACAATGTGTAAAAAAAAAAACAAAAGATCGCCGATCGGATCGCGGTTAAGCCGTTTTTAACACCTTTGTTTTTTTGTATTTGAATTTTTCCGGGTTTTCAATCAGTCCCCGAGTGATCGTCACAATCTCAGAGTAAAAGTGGTTTCAAAAAAGGGGGTAAAAGGGGGGAGGTAAACAAATTGAAAATGTGTATTATTCAACGCATAAATGTTCAACACACTCATGGGAAGGTCATTTGTAGGGAAGGTGAGTGGTTCAACTAAGTTTAACGAAAAGAGCAGAGAAGGTTTGCTTGACTGCATCAGTGTTTAACTAAATTCATCATACAGATGAGGCACGTATCGAGCTGGTTGATTGACCGTTAATACGTGCGGTCGCCTTGAGCATCTTTTTAAGTCCTATTTTTGGCTACAATGAGACAAGACCGACAAAGGTTGATGAGTTAACCTTTGCATGTTAAGTACGGTCGGAAAGCTCGCACAAAGTGCTGAGAGGGAAAAAGAGGCTGCTAGTATCGCTGCTAGGCACAAACTATTGACTATTTGCGGTTTTCGTCACAAGCTTAGTGTTTTAGCAGAAGTGCAAAGTCGTGGCTTAGTCTAATGGTCAATCAACAATATCGATTCGCCCTGCATTTTAACCAGAAATATGGTTCATTGTGACTCCCCCTGCTTCTTTTGGTTCAAGAGCGTTATTGACATTTCATTATGGACAAGTCATTGCAACTTGGAAATTATTTTCCCGTGCTCTTCGAATAATGGCCAGATCTTTATCCTTACAATTTGTTTGCTATTTTCGTACAGAAAGTTCCCTGAGCCACCGAGAAGATAGCTCTGATAACGGTAAAATAAAAATATGCCTTTTTTGTCACGAGTAGTCCAGTACTGCAGAGTGTTTTCTTTTTTCAACTTTGTTACCACCATCTTAGTGCTGAGTATTTGCCTTACTTGATCACCTTTGGATTTTAGTTAGTTTGTCTGATTTCTTTTAAAACCCTTTTTTCTTTCTGTCTCTTTGTACTTGACTTTTCGTTTTGTATTTTGTTTCCTTGTTTGTTTTTTTCTTTTGGTTTCCTGTCTTTTTTGCGTTCTTGTTTCAGCTGCTTTAGTCCTGTTATATTTCTTTGTTTATATTTTTCGAAGTGATTTGACTTGTAATTGAAAGAAAGCAGAAAATTAGTTGTTTCCCTTAAATCTGCTGACTCGGCCTTTATGGTGCTGTACAAAGCTCGGTATGATAAACCGTTACCACCTTCTGTATCTGGTTTCTCAAATTTAGGTGATACTAGTTTGACAGTCAGAGGTATAGTAAACCTACTCTAACCACTTTAAGAAAACTAAAAAGCGAGTTGTTAACTTACATTTTGTGCTAAAAAAAAAATATATGTCATTAAAAGGCATTTCAGAACTCGGCGTTTCATTCGTTTTTTGGTGCAGACACATTTAGCAAGTGCTATTTGTCATTTTGAATGTACCAGTGCTAAATTCATCATCGAGAGTAGATTTATTTCATTTTCTCTAATGATTAATGAATGGTATTGTAATTTTTCAAACAAAGATTGCTCTTTGGGGTATACAACGAATTCCACTTTGATAAAGCCTAACATGAAGTTAGTGAGATTCCAGGAACTTAACAACACAGGAACATACATGTTGAACGTGACGTGGATACCTTTGCAAGGTATGTAGAGTAACAATATAATGGTGTCACATGTCAATCAAGAAAAATGATTCCTGCTCGGACAAGACAAATTATTTCCAATTCTGCTTAGCCTTTTCGGCAAGTCTTTTCGAAAACCAGTAATTATCCATTTGCGTTGGTAAAAGGTTGCTTTGTTTGTGCGAGAAAGATAGTTCGCATGTGGTCTTTATTACAGATGACAATCTCATCTGGGATGGATACAAAGTGATGTACCAAGTTGCAAAGGAAAACTTCAAATGCGTGAACTTGGATAAGGTAAGAATTGCTAACATCTGGGGATTTAAATGATATTCATAATGGCTAGGTTTAAAATTAGTTCAAACTTTTGCTGAAAAAAGTATGGAGCAACTGAAAGCTTGCATTTCTTAGAATACTTAGAACTTCTTCAAGTTAATTTATTAATTTTACCCTTTCGTAATTATGCTTTTAATCGACTTTTGTACTTGGTTTTGCCTCAAACATCGGCCGTAGATGTTAGGTGCGAGGGAAAAGTGTTTTTTGTTTTTAGCAGAGACACATTGAGGTTATTCATTATTATGCAACCATGACATCTTTTTCAGAATGTCACGAATTTTGTGGTAAAGAGTAATTTGACAAGAGGTGCTAAATTCTTCTTCTCTGTAAGTGTTTCCAATTTTATGTATTTAACAAATAAAAATTGATGAGGGGAAGATAAGCTTAGGAACTTTAAAACAATATTACGATCGATTTCGACAGCAGAAAACTTGAATTTAGAGCGACGCAGGAATCTGAGGAGCCCTTTGAAGCGGGAAAGGAAATGCGTTTTAAGCCCTATGCATCCGTTTTACTCTGGTTTTTGCACTTTTAGGCATATCAAATGTAAAGGTTTGATTGGGGTTTGACAGTGGGACCTATGAAGCAGCATTTACGGTTGTTCGAAGGTTTCATGCTTTTTTTTAAGAAAACAGACTTAAGGCTTGAAGCATCGACTGTATAGGCCGAATACCTTGTGCAAATTTAAAACTATTATGAATGACATATCATAGCGGAGCTCGCAGAGCGTAGCCCCATAACTATACAAAATAGCAGTAAACCATCAAGGCGAAAAAATTTGGATGTACGACCGTACAAGGTGCTACTTTTAACATGCATCAACTATACCGCGGGCACGCCAACGCCACGGCTTTGTCCAGTAGTCCAGTGGTCAGTGCGTTGGGCTCCAAGTCGGACGAGGGGGGTTCTATTCCCGGCGGGGGCAAGGCGTTGTGCCCTTGAGACGTACGGGAAAAAAAATGCGAGCTCCGCTTTTAGGCTTGGCTAAATCTACATATTAGTAGTATGAATCCAACTCTGTGGAGTGGTACAGCGTTCACTGAATCCACTTCAACAAAAGACCCCACTCGGTTCAACAATAATGTAATGTAATATCTGTGTTTTTTACCTTTGATTATTTTGTGCAGTACCGCACGGGGTTGATAATACCTTTGAAGTTTAATTCTTGTATGTCTTGGCGCCAATATTAGAAAGCCCTTACGAGTAAATGAGGCAATTTTAGGAAACTTCCCGAGTAATCAAGCAATTTTTAGCAAACGTCCTGTCTAAACGACGGGCGGGTGAAAACAGTACAAAAAAATCTAGTGGTGGAAAAATCTTGGCCGAGCGAAGTTCCAGCGCCTGAGATAGGCAATTCGACTTGTTAATTTGTAAATAGATTCTGACTTGGGTAGATTCTCCATTATCAAGTTGTATTCCAAAATGTCTTAAAACATTATTTAAATTTACTCACTGATGTCATAGCTAAGCTCAACCAAAGGGTCACTGTGGCGTGTTCCTGAATCGCCGAAAATTTAGTGTGGCATTGTTGTCTCTTTTTTTTCTTTAAGGTTTTTGCCCGGCCATTCTATATTGACAACCCTGCGGATTTTGACATAGGTTAGTTGCCTCTAACCGAGACCGTTTTTGTTTCTTAGCGTATGGAGACTGCCAAGGGCATTAATAATGTTTGAATTACATATTTCTAAACGAGGAAAGGCTCAACGCGGCTGCCACATCACACATCAGTATGTCCTGTCTCTTCTGTCTAACTCTTTTCTTTCTTTTTTCCTCGTCTAATTTTGTCCTTTTTTTTTGTGCAGTTTGTCGCATCCCATGTAAAGGTGGGTATTTCGATGAAATTTATAAATAAAGATCTATATATAAGTATTTCTACATGCGTATTGTGGTGGTCACTTGAAATATGAAACACAACTGTTAATTTAAAAGTTAATCGGTTGATACTAACAGAATGAAAATGCGTCGATCAGTTCGAAGCTTCAAACCCTCCCATCTGCACCCAAACCCGGGCAACATTCTCGGGCGTTTGAACTTTTAAAGATTGGTTCCTTCAAATTCCCGCTCAACACTGAGTGTTCAGATGCCCCACCCAAGTGCCGGAACTGATCAGAGATGTTTTGTAAAAGATACGATCAGCGACCGTGACTTTCTTGTACATCTTTTCTTCTGTGCAATCTGCTCACGAGAGCGACTTCGAAATTCTTTTCCTTTAAACACCTCCATATCAAAATATATGTATTCCGCTAGAAAAATGACAGTTCCGGTTCAAATTCCCCACCCCACACAGGAAAAGTTCAAATTTTCTGCACTTCAGGCACGGACGATGGTCAAATGTCCCGTGGGTTGCCTGGGAGGGGGATGTTGTAGCTTCGAATTGATCAGTGCATAAGCTTTATCTTTGAAGATATGTGCAATAGTCTAGAACAATAAATATATCATAATTACATCGTATCCTTTATATCAATATGCACGATAGAGCATGACTAAGCATAACAAGGTAAATATTGGAACACGCTAAAATATTCAGGAGTTGTTTCTAGCCCGCCCACAAAGTTACACTTCTTATTCATGGCCAGCTTCTTGGAAAAACAATAAGCCAGCCTGCAACATCTGACCACCTTGATCACACGTATAATACTTTAAACGCTTGAAAAAGCTTACCAAAGTTAATTCAGCATGTAGAATCGAGACAGCATTTTACATATTCAGGGTAGATGTATAGCCTATGATGTTTACCAAGAGATTATAAACTATAATTATATCTTGTGCTTATTCTGTAAATGTATTTTACCCACGTGATGGTTTTTTAAGTTGTTTAGCAGCCAATAATAATTTTATGGGCTCTTCAATTTAATGTTTTAACTGACAAGTAGGGCTTGGGTCAGATGCACTTCATAAGAGTGAAAAATTTGTGTATTCATAGAGGCGAAGCCAATCAATCACGAGGCAACTGGCCCTTCTTCGACTCCTGATTCAGGTTTGTTGCTGGTTTTGTTAGCAGAAACAGTCACTACGAAAGCTTCTCTTTGTATAAGTATACATCTGTATATTGGACTTAGCATTACCCCTTTTAAAGCAAACGCGAATCGCAACCAAGGAAGAAAGCAGAAAACTTATTGCCAGCAACCTTCTAACGCACTTTGAAAGGACAGGCGCTCGGTTATTGCTGTTGGTATTTTTGTAATCATTGTTATTGGCGACTATTTTTTTTAAATCTGTAAAATTTTGAGTGCCATTTAATTGTGACCTCTTCCAGAGGATAATCTCTTGCGAGAAAATCTCGGCTATCTAGTTTTAAACCAGGTGATGGTTCACAGTTTTTAAAGATGTTGAAATATTGTATGACTTTTTCACTTTAATTATCTCTTCCTGATACACAGCTCACGACCCGAATGCAACAACTCCTAGGATCCCAGGTCTGTCGAAAAAAGACTTTTAAGAGTATTTTATATACCCTGTTATATCTTTTTTTGTTTATCTGTCGAAGTTGATTAAGTTTCGATCTTTGCTCTCTTTATATGGACCAATGGAAAGATGGGAACTTCAGAAACAATTACATAATATTATTGCCATTTTTTCTTTTTATAGTTCCAGTCTCGAGTTTTATCTTCAAAGCACGTGTTCAGATTATTATCTTTCTTGTACTAAATGTTATCTCAAGTAAGAAGAGTATTGTTAGACTGACAAGTGTCGTCGCTCTCACTTAATTGTGATTAAACAAAGTTTATGGTCGTTTGGTTGCAACTCCTTTCGTTACGTTTCAAGAAGCAGCCATAACGTGGCAGTTTTACATTAAGTCGGTTTTATTTTTATCTATTTACTTTTTGATTATATAGTTCCTTCTTCAAAGATCAATCGAACTTCTTCGTCACCTCCGAATTCAGGTTAAAGTAATGACACTTTGTAAATGATGATATTTCTGTTTAAATCAAGGTAGAAGTAGAAAGCTCCATGGCTAATCGAGGAATTTCGATCTTGTTGCGCGGTTCGGGAAATTTCAGAAGTTTCAGAAAGCTAATTGCATGAATAATGATATTGTTAAAGAATAGTGATAGTAATCCTTAACTTTACGCAACCCCGTGCGATCAACTTACTTATTTTCCTATGGTGCTTTTTACTTTATAAAATAATTCAAATAGTACGCGCGCTCTGATTGGCCATAAAACCATTTTACATGAGCGTATGTAAACACGGTTTTCGTTCCTCTTTCATTAGTTATTTTATAAAAGAAATGTAAAATGGTTTCCGTGTTTACTCAATAAGCTGGAAACCACTCCGCTTCGCGTCGTGGTTTCCTACGCTTATCTCGTGTTCTCCCAACCTCCCGCGTGTTTACATCAGGCTATGTAAACACGGAAACCATTTTACATTTCTTCTGTATACCACGCAAGTTAATAGTTCTTTTCGCGCGCACTGATTGGCTGGTTTGGATGTTAATATAGCTAGTGCTATTCACCTCCGAGCAACCGATGAGAGAAAATTGCGCTTCAAGTTTAATTTCTGACCATTTTTCGTTATATTGAAAAAAATAATTTTTTTTTCTGGTGTCTTCTGGGGTATATACTAAACCATTTTCACCTCAGTATGGGTGAGTAACTGTTAAATACGGAGATTAAAAAGATGTCTTCGTCTCCTCCGACTTCATGCAGGCATCAATAGGGCAGCTCCACGGCTAATCGAGGGATTTTGATCTTGGTGGTGACTCGAGCACTTTCTACAACTTCTGAAAACACGCGTGATATCTATTCCTAATTTTACTCGGCTCCATGCGACTACCAATTCTTATTTTCATTTTTTGCTTTATACAGAGGTCAATGAAACTTCTACGTCTCCTTTGGCTTCAGGTTTGTCGGAAAAACTTAACACAATTCTTAAAATCTTAATAAAACTTTGTTAACGATGATTATTCTCTTTGAATCGAGCTAGAAGTAGTATAAATCTACGGCTGATCAAAGGATTTCAATCTTGTTGCGCGACTTTGCAACTACAGCAGATTCTGAAAAAACGCGTGATGTTTTTTATTACTTCCCCCGGTTCCATGCAATTACCTCAATTAATAAGACTTCTTTGTCTCCTCCGACTTCAAGTTTGTCAGAAAATACTGAACACCATTCTTAATAACGCTTTGTTGCCGATGATTTTTCTTTATAAAACGAAGTGGGGCAGCTCCGGTCCACTGCTGATCGAAGGATTTCGATCTTGCTACGCGACACAGACATATTGGCAACTGCTGAAAACACGCTTGATATATAAACAATGGCCTCATTTGGCGCGAAACTAAAGTGCACAGATATTTGTCCGCGGACATTATGTGTTCCGAGATATTTACAGTTTTCCGAACATCATTCTTAATAACAGTTTTCCAGACACCATTCTTAATAACAGTTTTCCGAACGCGAAGCTCGAGGAAAACTGTGAGCTTCGAGGAGCATATGATTATACGAGCATATTTTCGCGCCAAATGGAGGCTATTGAATTGTCTTTGAATTGTCGTTGAAATATTTTGCAACGAGCTGGGGAAAAAAAATTACAAACACCTTACTGTTTGCTGAGTGAAATGTTCACTTCTCAGTTCTAAAGTAAGACTTAACGAATAGGCTAATATGTCCTTGTTCTGTAAAAACCAGAAAACGCTTTTCTTCCCTTGGATTTAATTCTTTACCAACGGCGTGGAAACAAAAATATTGTATGGATTATGATAATCCTTAATTATACTCGGTCCTATGACACTATTTACACTTTTTTTTTTACTTTGTTTTGCTTTGTGCAGAGATGAACAAGACTTCTTCGTATTCTGCGACTTCAGGTTTGTCAGGAAATACCAAGCAACATCCTTAAGACTTTAATAAAGCTTTGTTTGCAGACATAAATCTCTTGTTTGTAATTGAGTTTTCTAACGAGCTTTTCTGGTATATTGAAAAAGTATTACTCTGTTTATTTCAAAAGGATTTTTGTTAAAGCATGATTTACCCTGATTTTAAGATACCTTTACCTGTTTAAATCATACCGATCAAACTTGATATGCGTTAAAAATTTGCATCGGACATTACATGCAAAGGAACTTTTCGTGCCAGTCGATGTAGAGCTATATTTCATAGGTGCGATAATTGAGTCTTTGAAATAAAATCGACGACTGCTGTTTAATAATAAATACATTTTGCAGAGAAAACGATTTACAAGCAATTATTAGATTCGTTTGCACTATTTGGTTCTTCCTTTCATTCTCCACTAGAATACTGTGCGATTCCAAGATGGAAAAGAAACACTGCCAAGGATGCTTTCACTGATATGCTATTTCGTCATCTCTTTCAGGTCATAAAAATAATATGATTGCCTATGTACTTGCAACTGTTACCATCTCGGTATTCGTTATCATTGTTGCTGCTTTGATCGTTCACTTGCGCTGCCGTCGACAAAAACCGAAACCAAGGGAACCATCTGTCTCCTTAACAGGTACATGTTCAAATCGCCAACTGTGATGATAGAGATCAAGGGGATCACTTGCGGTTGACTTCTGTTTTGCGCAGTCATGCAATATGCTCTGACTGTCCGTGTCTGTCCTCTGTCTGTTTGTCTGTCTGTGTCTCTTTTTCTGATACTTTTTTAAACGATAAACTAGTGAGCAGCACCGCACGAGCTAAAATAGTAAATACTAGATTTATTTTCCTGCGCGTTACGCGCGAAAAAGCGTGGAATAAGGTATTTTTCAATGCTCGCGACCAGCTGTTGTAGTCCTATGAGAATCGTGCAGGGTCTGGTATGGTTTTTCCAACATGTGGGCCGTTATGTTTAAGAATTACGCGAAAATTTTGGGGTCCAATGTGTTAATCTTCATGTCAAGCCCCTGATGTCACGGTTGTAGTCTTGTAACCATACAGGGTCTGGCGTGGTATATCTTAATGCTCCCAACCTGGTGATGCAGCCTCTCACGAAAAGCGTGGGGTCGAAGATTGTATTTTCAATGCTTGCCACCTAGTGTCATAGTCTTGAGAAAAGCAAGAAGTCTGACATGGTGTATTTAACGTTCAGGAGCTGATATTGTAGTCTCACGTGAAGACTATGGGGTCTACACGGAATTTCAGTGTTGTGGACATGATTTTGCAGTTCTGGGCAAAAAGCATTACTGCTACGTTAAATTTAAAGTTTTGAATTTGATGTTGTGGTCATGTACACGCGCGTGGGGTCTGATATGGTATATCAATGTTCATGACCTGATGTTGCAGTCTCGTTGTCTCGAGCTAAAATCGTGGGGTCTTATCTTGTATGTTTCATGACTGATTTCGTAGTTTGAGCAGAAAGCTAATTGCATGTCATTCCTTATTAGCAATGTCGCTCGTCCGTTCGAACTTTGCCTCTTGAATCTCTGATATTGGTGCCTGAGACTGCTAGTCAAGGATAAAATTCTAAGATTTGGGAAACTAAGATGGGGGCCTGAGATGGGAGGTTGGCATCGGGGGTCTGAAAGGGGGTCCGAGATGGGGGGTCTGAGATAGGGGGGTCTAAGATGGGAGTCTGAGATGGTAGGAATGTTCCAAACCCTGCTCTATCATTAATTGAGGATCAGATAGCCACTGCCCAAAATTCGTAAATATAGATGGTGTAATTTTTCTCGGTTATTTTGGTTTAGCATCGTTAAATTTTAATTCATTTCAGCAAGCATAACTCGTTGTATATGATGCTTTTCAGTGATTTTGTTGTCATTCGGCATTGAGACAATCTTTTGGCGGAAAATCAATAAGATCTTCCAGCTAGGCTCCTAATCTCGATAACCGTGTTAGAGTAAGATAACTTCAGTCCGGTTACTTCAATTAATCGATAATATTATGAAGGTTTTCTTGCAGGCTACTGTTCAAAGTTGAACCACCAATGAAATGGCGGCGCTTTCCACACTTAGTATTTATTAATTGTTTCAGTATATCTGCGTTTCTGTTAGTTCTACCGTGCATGTTTCATATCCAATTATTTCATGTTTCAGACATGCAGTTTGAATACGATGCGTTTGTTATATACAGCTCCGAAGACGCAGATTGGGTGGTAAGAACTCTTATTCCAACTCTTGAGGAGAAGTACGGTTTAAAGTGCTGTGTTCATTACAGAGATTTTCTTCTTGGAGTTCCCTTTCGTCAAAATATGGTTGACAGCGTTTACAAGTGTAAGAAGAATATTGCTGTTGTGTCCACTCACTTTTTCAATAGTAACTATTGTGGCACAGAACTAGATTACGCTCTTCATCGACTTATGGAAAAGAAAGATGACAGCCTCGTAGTAATCAAACTTGACGATGTCCATAATAAGAAACTACCCAGGGAACTCCGAAAAAGGAGTTACATAGACTATCCAAAGTACACTGATAAAGAAACGTGGGAGAAAAAATTAGTAAAAAGCTTGACGTCCACCAGATTTTTAGAATGGTGAGGTATTGTGGCGAGAAAGATGATATCGTCTTGGGTAAAATCATGCTATTAACCACCTAGGAGCACCGTACGAAAGCAACTTGATGGACTTATCATCAAGCAATAGGCTTTATGCATGTTTACGTTGAAATAACCATATTTATAAAAAGCCTCGTGCCTTTAGAGGCACGGACTGGTGATTTTAATTGGATGGTATTCTCTAGACACTGAAATCAACTTGATTTGAAGAAACGCGCACTTTAAAACGTTTAGAAAGCAGCAAAAATTCATGATAAATTTTTTAACGCAAAGAGGCCTAGAAGGAATTTTCAGTTTAATACGTCATCGTAAGTGGGATTTTTTCTAAATGGGGCGGGGTTTTGGGTTGCTGATGACCCCCGCCCCACCCCCTATATCATTTCATACACTTTACTTGCATAGAAATCATTTCTTTTTATTTTAAAACGCTTTTCTTAATGTTTTTACATTGGTAGAAATACAAATTGCCGGATTGATAAGTTAAGAGATAGAGTTGGATTGCCATTATACAAGTCAGCAAAATAACGCTGTTAAATTTAATGTCATCCTATGGGAATTTTTTCTTCTAAACATTGTTCACAGGCGCCAGGCTTACTTTTCAAGATACTTAGAGGAGCACAGATGCAATTTCCCAGTTTGCAAATTTTTTCTCTTTCTCTATTGGCGGTAACATTTTTAATAACATTGCTCAGAAATTGACAATTTATTTGGCAGTCGTCTAGGTCTAAAGAATCGGTATGATCGTCTACATCTCGCTTTGTGAACGTGTTGGGAATGTCATCTTCCTCAGTGTCGTGCCATGCGACAGGTTCCGCATGGGCAGCTATATCTCGTTTGACTTGTGGCCTACTGTGCGTTGAAGCCGCGAGCAGAAAAACAATCATGGCTTTGAAGAAAGCACCCTGCGAAAAACCAGTGAAAGATAAAAGATAAGAAAATACTCGTGAAACGTAAATAATTTAAAGAAGATAGAGATATAATTTGAAATGTTACACGTACATATGGTAATGCAAAGAAATAATTCATTTGTATAAAGAGTGAAATCGAAGGCGATGTGTTCGTCTTTATACTGCGATCATCGTCATGGTTTAGAATTAAGATAATTAGGATGGCTAAGCTGATTCCGGAGATATGCGCGCTCTGATTAGCCAACAATCGACTTGTTTTTCACTGGACGCTTGGGCACAAAAGTCTTGGAGACGCAGTTCCTGTCGTGGAATTTTTTTTTTCGATTCCAGTTTCAAATTAAAATACCTTTCTGAACCGCCTCTTGCAATACAGCTCCGGTTTCGGAGAAAATACTTTTGATGACCATTTTGAGGTTTTAACTCAAATATACCTTCTGTTCTGCAGTAGTGGTAAACAAAATCTGAAAATACCTTTTCAACGTTATCATGAAATATTTCAGTTCCCTGTCGGCACAAGCTTGTGAAAATACTACTCTGCTCTACGGCCACTTCCATGGCTGTATACATCAAATTAAAGTTACATGCCTCAGACAATACCACCTCAACAATTGTTTGACCCTACTTGGAATTAAGAGAGAAAAAATACTGCACTTGAAATAAATTTCAACAAGAACTTTCAATCACCGGCGATATCTCCGCCACCTGGTGATATCTCGTCTGCGTCGAATGAGATATCGTTGCATAAAAGCTTAGCGAAATATCGCTCCGGCAAATATTAAAGAAATAGAAAACATCAAACTCGATCTTACTTACATCGTCTCTTTACGTCGAGGAGAGAGTCGAAATTAAGAAATGCATCGCCATATCAAATGATGAGAAGGAAACTAAACAGAAATTCTTGGAAATTTCTTCCCTTTACAGCACTTTACTGTAACGTAATTACATCGAAGTAAATTAACCAATTAAATATGCGTATTGCCCAAGTACACATTGCTGTTAGCTCCTGTGTTGGGGGACAATATGACTCTCTTGTTAGTGCCATTAGCTAGGAGAGTGAACAATTTTAGCAGTGTATGTAATGGCAGTATAAATAGCCATGGTAATATTGTATATAGCGTCAATACTATGAGGGCGGAGACACGGAAAAGTGGTTGTGTTTTTAAAAAATTGTCGGCATTGTAAGCAGGGTAAACACCGTCGGTGTAAGTAAAATGAGATAAGTTATGATTTGAGTAACGTTTAGTGTGTTAAACAAAGTTTGAAAAAATAATAATATAAAAAAGATACATCTTTCCCCAACGACGAGATATCGTTTCCGCCAGGTAATAAATCGACCAGGCAACATTACATCATTAAGTCAATTTTGCTTCAGACGTCTGACTTACATGTCTGTTTCTTACGGGTAAGACTAGTCAAAACAGGAATGGAGCCTGAAACCGCTTCACTCCATGCTAGAAAGTGGACTTTCGCTGTATCATTAAAGAAAAATTTTTTTTAGAACAGTCGAGTCACTCTTGTTAAATATTGTGGCTTGCCTCGCTTCTTTTAGCTTTGATTCGAAACCCTTGAAGTAGCTGTGCAGCCTTTAGTGTGATTATCTTTTGACTGTGGTGTCGTTTCATTTTGGGAGGGATCGGAGACGAGAGAAGTGATTTGTTTATAATCCTTTAACAAAGAGGGGGATTACTTTGAAATATGGTATTCAACATTATATCTAATAATGCATTTCTCACTAAAAATCTTTGTGGCGATGTATACCACTGAAACGAGATATCGCGATGACGCACCTCTCGGTCTACGATAATTCGCTATAGGGATATATTGTGTGCTCTACGATGTATCGTTGTAGCGATATTTCACTGAAACTAGATATCGCATGAAAGCCCCGATACCTCTTTGATTTATCTCCTTTAAGAAGCAACAGAATTCGCGATATATCAAGGATATATAGGTAATATCTCTGTAGAATAAAGCGCTATGGTCGACGATAAATCGTAGATTTGCATTACTTTTGCACAATACTGTATATACTTTCTGGAATAGTTGATGTAAGAAAAATCTCTAACGATTTAATATTCTTTAAAGCCGACGCCATACTAATGCAGTTCTAACTAACTCTGGAGAAAGCCATGTCCACATAAATAGTGCGATGGCAATGCAGAAGCGGGATATTTACCTCAGGAAATAAATAGTAATCGAATATAACCACGTCTCAAGGTTAAGGACATGGACCGGACGATTACAACCGACAAAATAAAAATGTCTCTTAGATATTTGTTTATTTTTAATCCCTAAAAGTTGTATCTTACATGAAGTATAAGTCATAGCCAAGACTAAAGTCAGGACTAAACACTCGTGTTCTTTCTTCAAAACCAATGTTAAGGCATTTTGGCTGTTATCTTGGATTCCTTACCGAGCATAAGTATTTGCGAAATTGACTTTCATGGTAACCTGTATGCATGACATGTTAAACTCGAGAGCATTGAAGCCTCACGGTTCTTTGTTGAGCTCAATGCCTCACGAAATTCAGTGAAAATTAAATTAAGTTGTTTCGTTTCAGTTTGACATGTAAACGACTGGCTTCTCCTGTTAGTCGGGGCCATTTTTTCTCATTGTGCCCCTGTGATGGAAGCAAATTTTTCCATTTGTTTCCGTTGTTGCTAAATTGCAGCGTCAGAATTCATTTGTACTATATTTCACGCAAAATTTTACCCATTTGGTCCACGTATGCTAACATCAATTTCTAACGAGAAATTTTGGGGAATTTTCATTCCATTGACAATAATTGAAACGCAAAATTATTATCCAAACATAACGTTGATTTACAAGCAACTCATTCAAAAAAATTAGAATAAACCCGACTACACTTCAGACGTTTCCTTTAAATTTAAGTGCAAATACTAAGTAAAGCGAAGAAATATGGATAAGCTATGTCAACAGTTTGATCTACGTTTAAAATGTGTTTTCATCATTTAACAGTTAGAAAATTTACCTGCCACTTAAACTGAACTAAAAATTTCAATATTTAAAGGATGATAACTAGTATCTTGTACTACACTTCGGACACAAGACGAAAATCTGTTCTCTCAACCACTAGTACAAAAAAAGGCGAAGCTGAATGATACGATGGAAAGCTTTAAGCGTGAAGGTGATCTAGCTACCTACCTTCATTGTGATTATATCTTCCCTTTTAGATAGACTTTCCCTTATTAGTTGTCAATGCTTGTCAGGATGTTGTACACAGACTGATTGAAAAAAAATACCTCGACCGTAAGTACAAATACTTTAGTGAGCAAAAGGGCGTGGTCTTTTTTTCCGCAATACTAATATCTTATTTACCTCCAAAATTAGGGCTAAAGTAAAATTCATTTCATGATTGCTGCTCTTCGGGAAACTCCCGTCTCAAAGTCAAACTCAGCATCATCTGAAAGTAGCTTCCTTTCTCGATTTTCAAGATTAGTACAATTGACTCGCCGCACGTTTTGGTTACTAAATATTCTTTTCACTGGGCTAAAAATAATTTTCAAATTTCATAATAGATTATTCAAATTCTATCTTATGTGTTGCATTATGACGATGATAAAATCTAATTCTGCTATAGTCTCTTAAAGAAGATTGTAGCAGATGCCGTGTTTAATGGAATAGCAGTTTCACGCATGTGCCTTTTACCTTTTATGGTAAAACCCTGTTTCGGCTGTGTTCGTATGTGTTTATTCTTGGCTTGAGGGAAAAATAAAGTTCGAAGCAAACTCAAGAAACAGCACTGCTTAGTCATTATGTGGCTCAAACAAGTAAAAGGTGAAATAGAAAATTAAAGTTTAATTAAAAGAACTTAACTGAATTATGAGACAAATTCACTTCAGGTAAAAGGAGAGGCTTTTTAGCAGCAGGACATAACTGTTTCAATTTCTGCTCATTTAAGTTCCATAAAGTCTTTTTTAAAGATTTTTCAATCGGTAAGTGAAAATTGGAGTCGAGGAAAACAATTCATTAAGCTGGATGTTTTCCCGGTTTAAGTGTTATAAGAACGCGGAATCCTACTTTGATTGTAATTTACAAAGGGAAGCTAAATGAAGAAATGAGTAGATTCTACTCTCATTTATGTAGGATATGTACTATGTTGCAATGAAAGCATATTTTTCTCAGTATCATTACAGCTCATCAAGAAATCAGATATTGCTATTGAAACTTAACCTCGATCGTTTCTGAAGCGGAACGACATTTTCGCAAGTTATATTCTCTAATTCATACGAGCCACAGCTACCAGTTCAAACATGATATAACGTTCACAAAAAAATCAAATCTTTTTTTCCTTCAAAGAAGTTTCTTCTTTTAAATTTTATGGTATGTGCGTCTATTCTTCATCAGGCAGTCGTGCTAACTTGATGTTTAGTTGTCATCTGTGGGGAATCGCCTGCCATGTCAAAATTCCGCATTTTTGCTTGTTCTCAGTTTTCTCCGTTGTCATAATCACCTCTTCCGCAGACTTTGCTCTTTCCAATGGTGTACATGGAAATAAATATGGCTTTTGGTTAAAATCGACATTTCTGAAGACAGGTGTCTTACAAAGAATACGATGCTCTTGCTTTTTGTTGCTTTTCGTGTTGACACCCTTCTACTATAGAAACTTCAAGATCGAATGACGTAATATCCTGTTGTTTTTATTCCTTTTCTTTCTCAAGTTTTCTTTTTAAACGGTTTTGATTACGTAAGTCAATTAAACATCAACACGCAGGCGTTTAGGTAAGGTCAAAAAGTGACCTTTCCTTACAATATCAACACTTTGCCCAACGTATGGGTGATAAAATTAGACTGCCGAAGGCTTTAATATTGAGATAATATCAAAGCATCTTCACATTAAACATCAGGGAAGAGAATCAACAGATCTCAGTTGCGAATGAAAGATAATGAAAATCATTCTCCTCGCGCAATATTGGAGACATGTGAGCTGTAAAACCAGTGAACGGAATCTCATTGTTTGACAAATTTGTTGTATTTGTTGGACGAGAGTCTGACCAACCCGGTCCTTAAAACCGTCAAACAGTCAAAAATCAAATAACAGTCATCCGTCAGGGTGGATAATTCTCGCTTCAAAATGCAAAGATGTGCACTTACCTTCACTGATTGCACTAAGGCATTTAAAATACTATAATATCTCAAAGAAATTGAAAAATCAGATGAAGATCTGAAAATCATAACAAAATTATATTGGGAACAATAAGAATTATGGCATAGCGTGGGCAAGTCTTACCTATTTCCGAAGGAGCTGCCATGGTAAAAATCCTCACGTACTACATGACTTATGCAAGTTCACTTCGGCTGAAAGTTCCAGTTGAGTTTAGCCCCGAGGTTTCAAAACTTTCCAATATTTTTTCCCGCTTCATCCCGATTGAGGTAGGCCTTTTGGAGCTCAAAAAAAATAACATGTCAAGTAATACTCGTTTCGACAAACAATGAGCATGTAGGTCTTTCAAGCGATAAACTTAGTTTTGGAGTTGACGATACTTTTTTTTTCTGGTGTCTTTGGGGTATATACAAAACAATTTATCACCTCAGTATCGGTGAATAATTGTTAAATACAGAGATCAAAAAGATATCTTCGTCTCCTCCGACTTCATGCAGGTTTGTCCGAAAACACTTGATACCTTCCTTAAAAACTTAATAACGCCTTGCTAAGGAACTGTTATCTCTAAATCGACTTGAAATAGGGAGCCTCCACGGCTAATCGAGGGATTTTGATCTTGGTGGTGACTCGAGCACCCTCTACAACTTCTGAAAACACGCGTAATATCTCTATACAATGTCCGAGATCAATGAAACTTCTTCGTCTCCTTTGACTTCAGGTTTGTCGGAAAGACTTAACACAGTTCTTGAAATCTTAAAAACACTTTGTTAACGATGATTATCCTCTTTGAATTGAGCTAGAAGTAATAAAAATCTACGCCTGATCAAACGATTTCGATCTTGCTGCGCGACTTGGCAACCTCAGCAGATTCTGAAAAAACGCGTGACATTTATTCTTATTACCCCCGGCCCCATGCGATTACCTATACTTATTTTCCTTTATTGCTTACACAGAGATCAATAAGACTTCTTTGTATCCTCCGAATTCAGGTTTGTCATAAAATACTTAACACCATTCTTAATAAAGCTTTGTTGCCGGTGATTTTTCTTTTTGAAACGAAATGGGGCAGCTCCACTGCTGATCGAAGGATTTCGATCTTGCTACACGACACAGACAAATTGGCAACTGCTGAAGACACGCTTGATATATAAAAGATGGCCTCATCTGGCGCGAAACTAAAGTGCACAGATGTTTGTCCGCCGACTCTATGCGTTCCGAGAAATTTACAGTTTTCCGAACGCGAAGCTCGAGGAAAACTGTGAGCCTCGAGGAGCATATGATGATGGGAGCATATTTTCGCGCCAAATGGAGGCTATTGAATTGTCGTTGAACTATTTTGCAACGAGCAGGGAAAAAAATTACAAATACCTTACTATTTCCTGAGTTTTCAATGTTCTAAAGTACGACTTAATGAATAGGCATATTTCCATCTTCTATAACAACCAAAAAACGCTCAGTGTTGTGAATATGATTTTGAAGTTTTGGGCAAAATGCATGAAGTCCGCTTCGTTAAATTGAAGGTTTTGAATTTTGATGTTGTGGTCATGCACCTGCGCAGGGGTCTGATATACTATATTTATGTTCATAACCTGATGTTGCAGTCTCGTTGTCTCGTGATATAATCGTGGGGTCTTATATTGTATGTTTCATGATCGATTTCTTATAACTTCAGTCCGGTTACTTGAATTAATCGATAATCTTAAGGTTTTTTGGAAGTTATTTTTTAAAGTTGAACCATCTTTGAGATGGCGGTGCTTTCCACACTTAGTATTTATTAATTGTTTCAATATATCTGTCTTTCTGTTAGTTCTAGCGTGCATGTTCATATCCAATTATTTCATGTTTCAGGCATGCAGTTTGAATACGATGCGTTTGTTATGTACAGCTCCGAAGACAAAGGTTGGGTGGTAAGAACTCTTATTCCAACTCTTGAGGAAAAGTGCGTTTACATCTGTAGGAAGACAATTGCTGTTGTGTCCATTCACTTTTTAATAGAACTATTGTGGCACAGAACTAGATTACGCTCTTCATCAACTTATGGAAAAGAAAGGTGACAGCCTCGTTGTAATCAAACTTGACGATGTCGATATTATGAAACTCCCCAGGGAACTACAAAAAGGGATTTACATACACTATCCAAAGTCCACTGATAAAGAAACGTGGGAGAAAAAATTAGTAAATTTTTTCACGTCTACCTGATTTTAATTAGAAAAAAGCCCGAATTATATGGAATACTAAGAATCGTAAGGAATTACGGCGAGAAAGATGTTACCGTCCTGAGTAAAATCATGTGATTAACCACCTAGAAGCATCGTACGAAAGCAACTTGATGGACTTATCATTAAGCGATGAGCCTCGTGCATGTTTCCGTTGAAACACCCAGATTTATATAAAACCTTACTGTAAAGGTATGGACTAGTGGCTTTTAACTGGATGGTATTCTCAAGACACTGAAATCGAACACGCATTTAAAACGTCTAGAAAGCAGCAAAAATTCATGAAAAATTTTAACGCAAAGAGGTTTGGGAGGAATTTTCAGTTTATTACGTCATTGTAAGTGGGATTTATACTAAATGGGGCGGGATTTTGAGTTGCTCGTGACCCTCACCCCACCCTTATTTTATAACGCTTTTCTTAACGTTTTTACATCGGTAGAAATACAAATTGCCGGATTGATAAATTAAGAGATGGATTTGGATCGCCATTTATACTAGTTAGCAAAATAACGCTGTTAAATTTCTCATCCTCTGGGAAATTTTTCTTCTAAACATTGTTCACAAGCGCCAGGCTTACTCTTCCAGACACTAAGAGGAGCAGAGATGCAATTTCCCAGTTTGCAAATTTTTTCTCTTTCGCTAATGGCGGTAACGTTTTTAATAACATTGCTTAGAAATTGACAATTTATTTGGCTGTCGTCTTGGTCTAAAGAATCAGTGTGATCTTCTACATCTCGCTTTGTGAACGTGTTGGGGATGTCATCTTCCTCAGTGTCGTGCTATGCGACAGTTTCCGCATAGGCAGCGGTATCTCGTTTGACTTGTGGCCTACTGTGCGTTGGAGCCGCGAGCAGAAAAACAATCATGGCTTTGAAGACAGCACCCTCAGAAAACCGGTGAAAGAAAAAAGATAAGAAAATACTCGAGAAACATAAATAATTTAAAGTAGATAGAGATATAATTGGAAATGCTATACGCACATATGGTAATGCAAAGGAAGAATCCATTTGTATTAAGAGTGATATCGATGGCGATGTGTTCAGCATTATACTGCGATCATCGTCATGGTTTAGAATTAAGATAATTAAGGGTGCGTTCCTTTGGGAGGATCCCGATTAGGATTTGTGATTCAAGATCACACAGATCACGGTGCATCAAAGGAACGGAGCTTAAGTTCATCAGATCAGTTACCATGACAGCAGGCGCGAAACTGTGAAGCGCGTCAGCGGAATCGCACGCTAGATTTAAAAACGAAAACAAGATGGCCGTCGCGGATAGATCAGCTTTTGTTTCGTTAATAGAGGTACTTTCCAGTGATTCATTACTACAAGAAGCGAGAGGTTGTGAAGATGAAGAATTTCTATAATTGTTTCTTTTGATAAGGGAGAGGCAGAACCATGTCCGCATTGAGAATTATTTCGAACGTATTAAACCACTCTACAATGTTTCAGATTTTTTAAGTCATTTCCGGATATCAAGAACTACAGTCAGCTGTTTGGAACGCTTGTTAGCTACTTGCCTAGGTCTGCCTCATGGACAAAGGAATGGGGGAAGACCTACCATTGACTTACAGAAGCAAGTATTGATTACGATATGGATACATGACAACCCTGAATGCCTGCGATCAGTGGCCGATCGATTTAACATTACAAAATCGAGTGTAATTCGTGTTTGTCGCAGAATTTGTGGAGCAATTGCCAACAATCTTTCCCGTCAGTATAAGTTCTGGTGTAGTGGGTAAACTAAACTAAACTTGAAAATACCTTCTCAACGTTATCATGAAGCATTTCAGTTCCTTATCGGCACAAATTTGTGAAAATACTACTCTGCTCTACGGCCACTTCCATGGCTGTATACATCAAATCAAAATTAGATGCCTCAGACAATACCAGCTCAACAACTGTTTTGATCATACTTGGAATTAGGAGAGAAAAATTACTGCACAGCTCATCTGAAGCTGTTTTATTGTGATTAATTCAAGAGCACATGAATATCAACACTCCCAGGAACTTTCAACCAGTGGCGATATCTCCGCCACCTGGTGACATCTCGTCTGCATCGAACGAGATATCGTTTTAAAAGCTTAGCGAAATATCGTTTCCGGCAACTATTTAAGAATTTAAAATATCAAACTCAATCTTACTTATACCGTCTCTTTACGTCGAGGAGAGAGTCGAAATTAAGAAATGCTTTGCTATATCAAATGATGAGAAGGTCACTAAACAGAACTTCTTAACTAACCCTAAGCAAACCCTAAGCAATTTCTTACCTTCACAGTACTTTACTGTAACGTAATTACATTAAAGTAAACTAACCAATTAGATATGCATATTGCCTAAGTACACATTGCTGTTAGCTCCTGTGTAGTGGGACAATATGACTCTCTTGTTAGTGTCATTAGGATAGCAAACAATCTTAGCAGTGTATGTGATAGAAATATAAATAGCCATGATAATATTGTAAATAGCGTCAATATTATGAGAGCGGAAACACGGAGTGGTCGTTGTGTTTTTAAAATTGTCGGCATTGTAAGCAGAGTAAATACCGTAGGTGTAAGTAAAATGAGATAAGTTGTGTTTTGAGTAGCATTTAGTGTATTAAACAAAGTTTGAAAAAATAATAATATGAAAAAAGATACATTTTTCCTCAACGACGAGATATCGTTTCCGCCAGGCAATAAATCGACCAGGCAACATTACACCGTTTAGTCAATTTTGCTTCAGACTTCTGACTTACATGTCTGTTTCTTGCGGGTAAGACTAGGCAAACAGGAATAGAGCCTGAAACCGCTTCACTCCGTGCTAGAAAGTGGACTTTCGCTGTATCATTAAAGAAAACATTTTTTAAGAACAATCGAGTCACTCTTGTTAAATATTGTGGCTTGCCTCGTTTCTTTTTAGCTTTGATCCGAAACCCTTGAAGCCTTTAGTGTGATTATCTTTTGACTGTGGTATCGTTTCATTTTGGGAGGGATCGGAGACGAGAGAAGTGATTTGTTTATAATCCTTTAAGAAAGAGGGGGATTACTTTGAAATATGGTATTCAACATTATATCTAATAATGCATTTCTCACCAAAAATCGTTGTGGCGATGAATACCACTCAAACGAGATATCGCGATGACGCACCCCTCGGTCTGTGATAATTTGCTATGAGGATATATTGTGATGCTCTACGATGTATCGTTGTAGCGATAGTTCACTGAAACAAGATATCCCAGGAAAGCCCCGATACCTCGTTGATCAACAGAATTCGCTGAGCATACGTATTAGCGAAATTGACTTTCATGGCAACCTGTATGCATGGCATGTATATTAAACTCGAGAGCATTAAAACCTCATAGTTCTCTGTTGAGCTCAGTGCCTCACGAAATTCAGTGAAAATTAAATTCAGTAGTTTCGTTTCAGTTTGACTCGTAAACGACTGGCTTCTACTGTTAGTCGGGGCCATTTTTTCTCATTGCGCCTCTGTGATGGAAGCAAATTTCCCATTTGTTTCCGTTGTTACTAAATTGCAGCGTCAGAATTAATTTGTATTATATTTTCATGTAAAATTTTACCCATTTGGTCCATGTATGCTACCATCAATTTCCAAAGAGAAATTTTGGGGTATTTTTCATTCCATTGACAATATTTAAAACGCAAAAACAGGCAAGATTGTAGCAGATGCCGTGTTTAATGGAATAGCAGTTTCACGCATGTGCCTTTTACCCTTCATGGTAAAACCCCGTTTCGGCTGTGTTCGTTCGTATGTGTTTATTCTTAGCTAGAGGGAAAAATAAAGTTCGAAGCAAACTCAAGAAACAGCACTGCTTAGTCATTGTGGCTCAAAAAAGTAAAAGGTGAAATAGAAAATTAAAGTTTAATTAAAGAACTTAACTGAATTATGACACGAACTCACTTCAGGTAAAAGGAGAGGCTTTTTAGCAGCAGGACATAACTGTTTCAATTTCTGAACATTTCAGAGAGTGTCTCTGTAAGAGCGGTCCGGTCGATTTTGCTTGCGACACGGATTTCGCTCGTTTCTCGTGTGTTGTAAGACATTCATGTACCTATACTAAAACCACAATCAGTTTGATCGGATCTCTTTATTTTTCAGAGTTTTACGAGTCTTCAGTAACATTTTCTGTTATCTATTTTTGTCACGTGACATATCTGCTCGAAAAGAGAAGAAATTCTTTATTAGATGAAAGGTACTTAAGTGCACATCACGTTGAAAAAAATAGATCTATGTGTAAGTGTTTTAATTACAGATGGAAATATGTACAATATTGCTCGGTTGATAATCAATAATGTTTTTGTAGAAGATCAAATCACCTGACAACGCAATATACTTACTCATGCGTACGGTTCACAATTATTTGCGGTCAGTTTTCCTCAGTTTGTATGATTCTCATTAACCAGTATGATTAAATTTGCAGACTAGAAAAACACCCCTTATTTGATTAAGAATGATAAAAGTAAACAGTGCATGCCGGTTTTTAATTCCTGATGGATGCTTCTGGGCTTTACTTTAACTGAGAAATTTGCAATCGCTTACCTCAGCTCTCTGTGTCCCATGCCGTAAGAAGCACAAGAAAAAAGTTGATGATAGTGAGTCTTGGCTGAGACAAGAAGAATCAGAAAAGGATCTACGGTCCCCCAGAAACGCCACTTTTAAACACGAGACAACTAAGGTAAATTGAATTAAGAGTTATTTGTTTTATTTAAAACTATCGTTCAGATTATAAGATACGCGAAAAACTCTCCCCACCGATTTTTTCTTACATTCTGTTAATCAAAAGTTTCAATAATTATAAAGGCTCTCTTGTTGATCGTCTTAATAGTAACAGTTTCCAGGATCCAAGGGGAGCAAAAGAGGGAACAATTTTCTGTGTAGTTAGGTAAGGCGACATGCCGGCTTTATACTTCTTCCGGCGTGATAACGATAATGATGACAACAATGGGCAAAAAGCACCGTCCGCTAATGATGACGATTATCATAG